TTTTGATCATTTTTGAACGGGGCCATTTTATTCACAGACAAAGCATTCTGGGTAAATGATGATGTGAATAGGTCTTTGGTGCGAGGCTGCTAGCGAGCTATATCCACCCTGAAGGTTAATCTTGGACAATATCTGATGATCGACTCTTTTAAATGAAACCAGAAAGCGTTGACAGAGAGGAGAAGGTAGAAATGACTCAGCCTGGAACTGAAAATATGGATGGAGGACAACAGAGCAGCTTGTTTGTTGCGCTGAGCTAATACATATAAGGTAATATAGCGTCAGTGCTAGCGCAAAAGCTAACAGGCTGAGGTTCTTCTTCCATGAAGCAGCTCTGTTGTCCTCCATCCATATTTTCAGTTAGAGGCTGAGTCATTTCTACCTTCTCCTCTCTGTCAACGCTTTCTGGTTTCATTTAAAAGAGTCGATCATCAGATATTGTCCAAGATTAACCTTCAGGGTGGATATAGCTCGCTAGCAGCCTCGGACCGAGGACCTATCAACATCATCATTTACCCAGAATGCTTTGTGCGTAAATAAAATGGCCCCGTCCGTGTAATATATTTTTAAACTTTTAGTTTAAAAATGATAAAAACTAAACAGTATTTTTACAGTCTTTATTTTACAGTTAAAGTATATCTTTATCAAATAAAGTCTAATGTTACAACTAATCAGGGATCCCTTTAATTTAGTGAAACCTAAATTAGGATCAAGTAGCTAAAGCTAAAAGCAACAAAAAAGCTAATTTGCTAAATGAGAAGTTTGTTCGGCTATTAGCTGTTAGCGAATTAGCAGAACTGTGCCCACCGCTGCTCATTATCATATAAATAAATTATCCTCCCTACATTCCTTTGGACAGTTCAGTGTGTGCACTCTCAGTCACACTAACACATGAAAACGTGTTGATGATAGCTGTCATATTCGGGCCTACCATGACGTTTTTTTTTTTACCCACTCAGCTGTCATCCTGCTGCTGCTGTCGAGGGCTGACTGACAACACCAGACTCTGTCCACAGCGAGAGCACATCATATAAATAACGTCCACCTCGACTTCACCAAGATGTAATTGAGTGTCGCGGCAAACATTTACCCTCAGCAGCTGCTCCTGTAATGAGGGAGTGTGTTGATTACACACTTTAGAACCACAAATTGTACAGCCGCACATCCAGATCGCCTCCATAGAGCTTGGTTCTAAGCTACAGTCTACATACAGTATCTAATTATGAAAAGGGGCATGCTGGAACATGTTGCTCTGTATATGAGATTAGTCTATCTTTTTTTTTCTTTCCATCACCAAGAAAAGGTCACCACACCTCTGTGCTCTGACTCAGCCCCTCTGACGTCTCTCCCGCCAACGATGAAATCAGACACGGGAACACTGTCGCTGACAGCTCCCCTCGTCGTGCATCATGGGCAACAGGGGTTTAATGGATCAACGTGAAGCTGTGCGACTGGCCGGCTCTAGAGGTGATCTGGTACGGTGATGGCCTGCGGCGTCACTCAACTAAACAGACACTAATTAGGGAGCTCAGCTCTTCTGTCTCTGCGTGTCAGGTCAGACTCTGATGGTCAGGCCTGATCACTGTCGGTCTGGAGAGAAAGGACTGGATTCAAATCTGTATTCAGGCCTAGCTTCAGCGAAGCGCTCAAAGTGTCATTAGATGTTCATCTATAATAGATTAACTTTTGGAGTCAACCTAATCCGCCTTGAAAACACAAAATTGTACTGTAACACAGTCATGCTTACAGATAATGAGCTAGGATTTGGTCTTGTAGCTAAGATTAATCACTAACTCTGAGTACTCGCAGGTCGAATGGCATGTTTGTTTAAAACTTTGACAGGAAAGGCAGCAGACCAGTGGTCGGCACAGTTCCGCTAATTTGCTATCCGCTAATAGTACAGCTAACTTTTAGTGTTTACACTGACTGATTCAAACGGATACAAAACGATGTAGCGTAACAAATGCCTGTCGACAGTGATGTGTTGTATAGAAACTTATCTGCTGAATATATAACAGTCAGTGGAGGGAACAGTCACGGTAATCTACTAATAGCGGAGCTAACTTTTCAATCAACAGATTAGCGGTTTTGCTAATTCTAGTTCTAACAATATGTCCTATAACCAGTGGTGGGCACAGTTCCCCTAAAGCACTAACGGGGGAACTAATTTCCTAATTAGTGCTTTAGGGCTTTTGCAATTTTTGAAATTCATTAGTGGATTAGCACTTGCTAAATTTATGGGCTAAATTTAGAAGCACTAACTGAGGTCTTTAAATTATCAACATTTTTTTTCACAGTTGAGGGTGAAAGCTGTCACACGTTTTGTTTAAATGTGTGTCACTTATCTAAGGTCACATGTGTTAAAATCAAGGACCGTGGGCCAAATGTGGCCAGCAGGTGACTCCCATTTGGCCCCGCCGAGGGCACCAAGTGATAACCATCTGCACACAGTAAATATTGTCTCATGCTGACTCTGAAGAATGTTTCATGCATCAACTGGGTTATATTAGTGCTTTAGAATTAGCTTTTGCTAAATCTTTCAGTATGTTAGTGCTTTAGAATTAGGGGACCTAAATATTTGAGTTTGTGCTTTAGGGTTAGTGCAACTAATATTTAGGTAAGTGCTGCCCACCGCTGTCTATAACAAAAACAAGTATCTCCTCACACAAGCAGCTGAATGGGAAAATCCTACAGATGCTACACACACAAATTGCATGACACAGACTGCACGTCTGCACCTCGTGTGTGTGTAGCAGCTTTAGCATTTCCCATTTAG